AATAAATAATAAAATTAAATAGTATTTGTATAGCGCATACCCCCGCTCAACAGCAAGCTCTATGCGTTTTACACTAAATTATTACCCTAGGAGACTATAGAACACTCAGAATCATTCTTAGTTTCCATTAGTTTCCAGGGAAACATGCCGTACAAGCAGCTGTTAAGTGCTCAAACACTAACAAACTGACAAGATCTTTCGCTGCCTTTAGCTGGGTACCTATTCCCACCTGGGTGAATAGAGGTTTCAAGGACACAACGTCGGGCCCCTGACGAGATTCGAACCCACGACCTTTACGGTTGCGAGTCCGAGAGCCTAACCACTAGAACACAGATGCTACATATCTGCACAGTTCCTAGTTTTGAGAAAATTGAAGTTAAAAACTGCGCTTTTAACATGTCAATCTTTTTCGAATGCAAGTCTATGAATATTTTGATAACGACTCCGAATAATCTTACGATTTTGATCGAGCAGATAGAGCATTTGGTGTCTGACCTCATAGTCTGATAATAACTCAAAAGGGCCAGAAATGTTAAGTAGAACTTTGTAATTTTAAGGCAGCGAAGTATAATTATGTGTGTGCGTGGAGAAAGGTCCCAGCTGCCTGCAAAGCTATTTTTTTAGCAACGGGGTGAAAATCCCCCAAAAGCCCTACCTGGTCAAAAATCTAACTCCGTCAGAAAAGACACATATAACCATTCTTTAATAACATATTGAAAGGATTTTATTATATTCTAAGCATAAATATTCTTACTAGTCATTTTTGCAACATGATGTACTTCGCTAAAGGTTAAAAATGTACTTGCTATTGGGTTTTTCTCTAAACGTAGTTTTTACACCCTGCATTGCAAAATGTGGCATACCTTAGACGAACCACTCAAGATATGTGAAAAATTAAAACATCAGCGTGCTAGGCATAAAATTTGCTATAAAAGAATATTCCCAAATTCAATATTATATCCAAAATCTCCGACAACTAGGACCTTTCTCTAGGCACACACACACACACACACAC